GTCATGTAAATAAATTTCTTAGCTTCTTGAAGATTTTTTATTTGATTTTTCTTCCTCACATAAATATTATCGAATAGTAGCGTGTTGAGTATACGTATCGAAAGGGTTTATGTGAAAACATTTATTATATATGAAAATTATTATGGGTAGAACTGAAACCGATAATTTGAGTTTGGATTTAGTTTTAGTAATTAGAAGGACTCGGATGATTCCATTTACAAAATTCGAAATATAAAGGGTGGTTTCGAATATTGAAATACTCGGACCGACTCACCCGACGCCTAGATCTAATTTCATAGGAAACATTTAATCTATTTAAAATTTATTCATTTTGTATTTTCCTGGTTAAAGCTATGAATTTACATCTTATTATTTGTAATTTGAGTTAAATGTTTCTTGAGTCATCAAATCTATATATTCACCATGAATGTTAAAATGTTTTCGAGTAGTTATTGAACTATAATACATTGCACTATGTTACTCACTCACCATATTTCATTAGTCACTGAACTTTTAAAATACTTCTGAGTGGTCATTGAAATTTAACATGTTACACTTTATCACTAACTCACCATATTTCATTAATCACTGAATTTATATCTCCGTCAAACTTTATTCACTAAATTTAAAATGTTTTCCAATGGTGAATGAACTTTACTGACTGAATCCAACTGTTCAAAAATTAAAAATATTGAAATATAAAATACTATACATGAAGACGAAGATATTCTTTCATCTTGAATTATATTGTGACAATTCTAAAAATTATACATTTTTAGTCGTGATTAATATCATTGACTCTAAATCGAAAATTTCATTGTCTTTTTAAAATATAATTTTTTTCTTGATTTGGGTCTACGATCTCAATCGAAACAAAAAATAATAATTTCTCTATTTTATTTTCTTAACGTGAAGGAAAAATTTAATTGACATTAAGATTTATGTCAATTTGAAGTTAGCATTCTTCTATCCCTTTAAACATAGCTTTTGGCAATTAGAGAAATTGTATCTTCTTGATCAATATTATCTTCTTAGATTGAAAGTCTCATTATCTATTCAAATTTAATTTTATATTTATTTTTTGATCTAGGTCGAATTTCATAAAAAATCAGCTTTACTTGAAAATATTATGAAGTTTAGTGATATCTTAAGATTCAACGAGCAAAACATGATTGAGGTATAAGTTCAGTGATTAATAAAACATGATGAATGAGTGATGGAGTGCAACGTGTTAAAATTCAATGATCATTCAAAATCGTTTTAAAGTTCAACGACTTATTAAACTTATAAGTGAGTGATAGAAAGTAACACGTTAAAATTTAGTAGAAATTTTAAATTTCAGTAAATAAAATGTGATGGAGATACAAATACAATGACTAATGAACTTTTAACTCCGTCTAATTGCTAAAGTTATAAAAGAATAGGAAATTGCAACTAGAAAGATTTGACAAAAAGACATTGCGGCTAACAATTTGACAATGTCAACTAACGAAATTTCACAATTAAACAATTATAAAAAAGACAAAGAACACTATTACACACTTGCAACAACAAGTGACGACTAGTATAGCACAAGATTCTTAAAGCAAAACCATGAGGTTGCCGCTATGGAGGCCGCGACGGTGCCGACGTTGGGTGGGTGGTGGTGATTTCGATTTTGGGGTAATGGGTTGGATTGGAGGTGGGGAAGAAAGGATATGGGGGATGGTTTTGATTTTTATTAATTGTGTTTTTTTTTGTGAAAAAGATAAGCTTACTATTTTATCCTTTTAAAAATTTGATCAAAACACGTCAAAATTCATTATTTTGGTCAACTAACAGTTAAGTGGATGGAAATCATATATTTGTCCTCTAGTCGCACATATTTGAAAGGTTTGGGATCACGAGTGTAACAAATGAAACGTTAAGGTAAAACTTGAAAAGACTTAAAAGGTTTGGACCGTGGCTACAATTATCCATAATTTCAATGACAACTTGAAGAACTTTTAAAGTTCAATTGCATTTCAAAAA